GAAAATGGGAAGCCGTTTCTACTTTCGGCGGAAGCACGAGGGGTTAACATTCCTAGGCGCCGAGAAAGACGTCAACCGTCTCAATATCATCGTCCCCCGACGCGTGGACGGAGAGAAGGCGCTACCGGTTCTGCATCAGTCCCACCACAACATCCTTATTCGTCGATGCCACAGGGGTACATGCCCAGCCCTCCACTTCATATGCCAAGCCCACCAGTTTATATGCCATCTCCGCAGGGTTACATTCCGAGCCCGCATGGTTACCTTCCTAGCCCGCCAGGTTACATGCCTAGCCCGCCAGGTTACATGCCTAGCCCGCAGGGTTTTATACCATATGGAGGTGCATATACGACTATGTTTAATGATCCAGCATATGCTTCATATGCATCTTATTTGGCTGGTGGTGCTTCTCCGCAGACACCTCAATCTTCATCTGGATCACATACATCGATGCCAATGTTTCCATAGTTTCCATAATTCCCGGGGAGCGGTGGGATTGTTACTAGCACTCCTCCAGGGTCGTTATTTTATACAGGCCCTTCAGCCCCTTCAGCGTCATCTACACCAAATGAAGAAAATGCTGCTGATGATGATAGTGAAGATGAGGAGACTGAAGAACAAGTTCCACGAAGAAATCCTCCACGAAATAGGCAACCACCGCCATGTGGAACTCATTCGAGAAGACGACATCGGTGATCTAGTTATTTTTTATTCACATTTAACATTAAATGTTTGATAAATGTTTTTAAAATACAAATTATATTATTCGAAATTTAAAATAAAAATAAAAATAATATTATTCAAATTTAAATTTAAAATATAAATTATAGTATTCGAAATTTAACATTAAATTTCAACTTAATATTCCAATTGTATTCGAAATTAAAAGTTATATTCCAATTATAGTTCACAATACTTAAATTGAAATTAAATTTATCCATACATATGATTTTATCATTAACATATATATTAAAACGTATACATTAAAATCAACTTATATTGAGTTCATCGATCGACGGAATCAACCAAGAGGGGGGTGAATTGGCAATTTATTCAATGTCACATTTCAATGCTCATTCCATACAATTTCAATGTCACAATCAACTTATCACTTCACATTTATTCAATTTATCCATAACATTTTATCTAATTTATTCAAACTTCACATAACGTTTTAATTTAAGTTATTCTTAACTTGTTGAACTTTCAAAAGAAGTTAAATTTAAGTTATTCCCCGAGGGACATGAGTGACATAATAGGGCAATGATAACATATTCTCTGAAAATAATGGAAGGCGCGCCCCCGGGAACGCGCCTTCATGTGAATAGTGAAATAATAGGTACTGATATATCTAGTGTCCCCGAGGGACATGAATGACATAATAGGGCAATGATAACATATTCTCTAACGAAATAATGGAAGGCGCGCCCCCGGGAACGCGCCTTCATGTGAATAGTGAAATAATAGGTACTGATATATCTAGTGTCCCCGAGGGATATGAATGACATAATAGGGCAATGATAACATATTCTCTGACGAAATAATGGAAGGCGCGCCCACGGGAACGCGCCTTCATGTGAATAGTGAAATAATAGGTACTGATATATCTAGTGTCCCCGAGGGACATTAATGACATAATAGGGCAATGATAACATATTCTCTGACGAAATAATGGAAGGCGCGCCCCCGGGAACGCGCCTTCATGTGAATAGTGAAATAATAGGTACTGATATATCTAGTGTCCCCGAGGGACATGAATGACATAATAGGGCAATGATAACATATTCTCTGACGAAATAATGGAAGGCGCGCCCGTGAATTGTTTCGTGTAACCGAAATGCCACGTCCGCTGCAAGGGATTGAAGCTAACTCTTTCAGAGTTAATCTGCAAGAGAGGTGGTGCGATTGTGGTTTCTTTCAAGCACTCAAATATCCATGCTCTCATGTCATTGCTGCTTGCTCACATTCGCATTTGGACTACAAAAATTATGTTGATCCCGTATACCAACTTTCACAAGTTTTCAAGGTATATGAATTTGAGTTTCCGCCCATAGGAAACGAAAGAGACCCAAATGAGATTCAAACTTGGCTTACAATTGTACCAGATCCATTGCTATTGAGGGACTCAGGTCGTCCAAAATCTACTAGAATACATTGTGATATGGATATTCGGGAGAAGTCAACAGAACAAAAACGATGTGGGCATTGTAGAAACATCGGGCACAATAGAAAAAAATGTCAAGCTCTGTTATCATCATATAACCGTGAACTCTTATGTAATTAATGTTTTTAAATGAATGTTTTTATTTCTAATAATTTAATGTTATTGCATTTATATAATTTGTCAATGTATGTACACCTAAATAATTTTTTTTAACTTTTAAATACATAAATATATTTAATATATTTATTTAATATAATATTTAATATTATTAGTTATAATTTTTTTTAAAATATAATAATAATTCCACCTTCTAAGTAGAGAAAAATATTAAATTAAACAAATTAAAAGTTATTAAAAAATTTATGTATACGATGACACATTTCATGTTCTGATTGGAGGATTAAATTTATTAAATTAAATTTTCAATAAGACTAATTTTATAAAATATGTAAGTCTTGAAGATTAAATATGTAATTATACTAATTTATTAACTTATGCATCAATATTTTCGTTAAATATTGATATGAGATGACTAGATTGATAACATTTAAATAATTAACTGATAAAATTAATAGATCGATAATCAAAATAAAAAATACTCGAAACTTGATAATTCTTACATTATAATCGAAACATTTTACATAATATATTATTAATTTATAATAATAATAAAAATAAACTATTTATTATAAAACAAAATATGTGTCTGCTGAGTTGGCAAAGGCGCGTCCCCGGGGACGCGCCTTTCACACGTGGCATCCAACTCAGCGAACAACACGGGTAAAGCGCACTCCCGGGGACGCGCATTTACCAACTCAGCAGAAAGGGTGCTAGTTCTGGAAATATTGATCAAACGATGTTAAAAAAATAAAATTAAAAACATGGGAGTTATGTAAAAACCCCCATATTCAACCCATTCGCTCGAGACCCAACATCAAACAGAGATTTCAATATAAAACACAGTGAATAAATGCGTCCAATGGGACAAGATTTTAGGTGACGGAATGTTCAGGTAGGCAGGCATTAGGGCTGCAGTATATCCCGGCAGCACAGTTGCTGATAATTCTATACTACATCAGTTCCCAACGCAAATATATGCTGTTTTATTAATTCTTATTTTATTAAGGGAATTAAGGTTTTGAACTGTCGCAAATTTAAACCGAGGATCTTTGGTAGTATAACAATATTCTTTTTTGTTTTCTCTCTCTTCCTCGTGATCGGGGTAGTGGGTTTGTACTAGCTCTGAAGGCAAGTAGGTTTGCAACGCCGTCTCTGTCACTGCACCGGCGAAAACTGCCATTTCGTCTTTTCCTTGGACTTTACTTCTATGCAATGAAATCCTTCCAGTTGGAGGTCCGTACTAGATAAAATCACACACAACGTTTGGAACCCCCCAGTGGATTCCAACACCGAATTCCTCAGCCATTAGGTTATTCTGGGCCCAATCTTTTGTTGGGTATACTTTGTTTTTAAGTGTATTCTGGATTTATTTCATCTTTAGGCCCACCCCAAACATTGGGTTTTGATGTATTAACCAATTTCTATTTTCCCATCTTTTACTGTATCGTCAGTTTTGTAATTGTTTTCCATGGGAGAAATATTTGAATAAACAAAAGCACTACCAAGTGTCGATTTAGAGGCTACTGAAATTGATTGTTTAGCAGCTCGGCATTCCTTTAGTGGTCGTCCTTTTGCTGTATCTTGTTTACTTTCAAGTGCTGATATTATTGTTCTTTAACGAGTATTTATATTTAAATCAAAATCAAATAATTTTTCTACAACAATTTTCACATATTTCAAGAGAATAATAAAAAGAACGAAAAAAATTAATTGAGCAATATGATATAACATATATCTTTTTGATTTTTTTTAGATTATGTATAAAAAAATAAAAGAGAGAGAGAGAGAGAGAGAGAGAGAACCCCCATGTGTCAAATTCACATGTTTTTTTTATGGCATCCATCAAATTCACAGGCGTTGCAGCAGGGATCATGGAATATCAACTACCTTTCCTCTCTGACAACGCAAAAAAATTAAGATAAAAAGCCATTCTCAAAAATAAACAGGCGTTTCTTGACTACCGCAAATCTCCCATCAATCCATCACACATGTTTCTATTACATCATTTTCTCGTGAAAATTTACGCGTTGGGATAATTATATGCCGCTGATAAGGGGGGTTCAATATCCTAATGCAAATTATACTAGTGTGGTCCAGCTGCTTCACAATCATAAATTGGGTGAGCCAGCTTTAATGATAGGCCAAATGACCCATTTGCTCAAAGAATGGAATAGAGAAACCCCATGTGTTGTGCCCCATCTACTTTTTAATGTATAATCGAGGTAAAAGCAATTTTTAGTTTAAAAATTTAACATTTTTCTAAATTACTCGGTTGTCGGGTTTGAATTTAGATTTTTAATTATTTCGATGATCTCGCATGTTGATATACAATATCATCAATTCCTAGACAATGTTTTCTACCTACATTTGGAACTGTCAAGCTCAAAACGAAGGAAAATAAAACAAATTACATTAGTACACTGCCATTTGTAGCCCTGTAAAGTACCGAGAAAACGAAAAAGGCATCTTTCTAAACTAGGTGACAAATACTTGGCATGGTACTAAGATATGGCATGAAACGATTTAAGGTTTCTTGTCCATGCATACTTAGAGAGGTGGTTTTTGTTTCATGAAATCAGGGTTGGTAGGAGAAGATTTTTGTAGAGGGGATAGCTGTACAAACATCAAAGGCAAACTATAATGATAGAGATATCACCAAGATTCCCCTTTCACTTTTTCTGGATTTGGAGAAACAAAAGCTCTGATCAAAGGGATCGAATTGAAACTGTAACTTATTAAATTCCTTTTTGAAGTTTGAGCAACAATTTTTTCTCCTTACAAAAGAATCGGCATAAAACCAAAAGAATAAAAAAGAGAGGGAAAACCTTGCTACATACACTGAACAGTATCACAAATTTCAAGTATGCCTATGTTCAAAACGGAGGCTATTCTGGTGTCCATGCAAACACCATTTTATCTTTATACTGTGGGTGGAATTGTGGTCGGAATGTAGAGAGTAGAAGATCATTTTGCAGTCATAAGTGGATTCGATATCCACCGGCTTTGCCCGGATTTTTATCATCCATGACTTGCTACAGAAGCCCCTAATCTGTCCTTCACATAATCTGCTCACCAATCAAGTCTAGACCGACCAGAAGGAAGGATATCCCTTGAAACAGCAAGAAATAGAAATGGATACCCTGTGCAGACAGGAGGCTCCTAGCTGAAGCTGTTAGAAGAAGGAATGCGAGAGCCAGTTCCTTCCTATATATCCTATTATGCTTCTTTTTCTTGGCCTTTTGTTCTTTTTCTTGCTCCAGATCAGCTTTCATTTCCTCGAGATTGGGTTCTGATCCAACACGATCGTGTTTTGGCTTTTTCTCGACCAAGGAAACAAGATCACCCTCCGATGATCGGCCCGATTTTTTTGTAACAACCCACTCATATGCACTGCCAAGTTGGAAAAGACCGGATATCATAGCATTGAACTTCGTCACTGACATGGTATTCTCGAAAAGAAGGTAAGGAACAATGAATGGGAAGGATTTCGGTGCCGGAAGGATGTTGAGGAACGACATTGTAGCAGGGATGTAACAGACAACCCATGCTGGAAGCTCAGCCTCTGGGACAAACATGGTCATTGGGAGAATTATGCAGAATAGAGTGAACGAATAAAACGGTAGCACCAGTTTTCGAAGCAGAAAGAACAGAAAGATCAAGTTGAATTTCTTCCATACACTAATCTGCATCAATGAAATTACAGAAAAGAACAAACATAGGAATCAGAATTCAACAAAATAGAACAATTAATGATTAACCAAACTGAGCTTTGAAAAAAACGTATTCACCTTAGCACGGATAATATCCGGCAAACAGAGCCGAAATAACTGCATAGGTCCAGAATGCCATCTGTGCTGTTGTTTTCTATAAGCTTCATAGGATTCAGGAAGCTCACACTGACACTGTTAAAAAGATAATATAAACCAACAAAAATTAAGTTCCATGAAAGTGAATGGCTGCTAAATCCAACTAGCAATATTACAGATTAAGATTAAGCCATACCTCCACATCATTGAGAAAAACGAATTTCCATCCATGAAGATGAGCTCGGACAGCTATATCCATGTCCTCGACTGTTGTCCTTTCCAACCACCCACCGGAATCCTCCAAAGCCTTAATCCTCCAAACTCCGGCAGTCCCATTAAACCCGAAGAAATTAATGAAAACACCATTCACTTGTTGCTCTACCTCAAAGTGAAAGGCTAAATTTATATTTTGCAATCTTGTTAGTAAATTTTCATCCTTATTCACAAATGACCACCTTGCCTGAACCAATCCTACATCCTCATTATCCTGTAAAAAAAAAAAGCAAAACAGAATTTCAGTTGAACTAATCCTAAACATGCTAAATCGAGCTTGAATGCACAAAATTGAACCCAACTCAAAACATGACAAGTAAATTTAGTTACCTTAAAGTGGGGAACGGTTCGTATGAGAAAATCAGGGGTAGGCTGGAAATCAGCATCGAAAATGGCAACAAATTCACAGTCTTTAACATAACTACAACCCATGGCGGACTTAAGATTACCAGCTTTATAACCATCTCTGATTATTCGGTGCCGATATACAATGTTGGCACCTTCTTGTTGCCATTTATGCACCTCGTCTTTAATAAGTAGCTGAGTTGTTGGATCGTCGGAATCATCCAAAACTTGAATCAAAATTTTCGATTTCGGCCACTCCAAATTACAAACTGCAGCAATCGATTGTTGGTAAACCTGCAAATAAAAAAATGTTAAAATTAAACCATAATTACAAAATGGGTTTTCTTTTAAAATGATGAAAATGTTCTTTTTTGTTTTACCTCTCTTTCGTTACACATAGGGATCTGAACGAGAACCATTGGGAAGAAACCATTTTCCCCAGATTCAAGATCTGCAAGAGCGCCTTGTTTGGGAATTGGCTTTATTTTTTTGAAACGGATCCAAAAGCAACCCAAACAGAGGATTAACCTATCCAAGCTTTGGATAAGGAAGAGCACAATGCAGACATTAGCTAGGAACTGAAGAGGGGGAGCGAGATACTCCACCCGAATCAGAACCCAGCGAGAGTACAACAAATCGAACAAGTTTCTAACACCATACGGCGAAGTAAAAACGTACTGCAATTGAAGCTTTGGGGCACCAAAATGCCAGCCTTTAAAGTACGCGGCAATCTCGAAACCGAGTAACAGTAAAGACAACCAAAGGAACACTTTGATGCAGTTATATAACCTGGTTTTAACGGTTTTGTTTTCGTTAGAGGAATTGTTGTCGGCGTCGGTTCGACCGGAGGCGACTCGGCCACGGATGACTGAACCGAGAGCGACGAATGTGGACGCAATGGAGGTTAAGGAACCAGCAGCGCGGTGGGCTTTTAAGAGGAGAACCCAAGTGAGTTGCTTGGCGTTTTTGTTGCGCGCTTTTTCTCGAGCACCGGTTGGGGTGTTGTCGATGAGGAAATCGTCGTCCGATAGACCCTCGACCTCGTCAATTGACCAGTTTGGGTTTTTCATTTTGACGACCACCGGGGTTCCTTTATGGCTGCCTTTTGCCCATAAATCAAAGGACGGCGCCATGGTTGAGTTTTCCTAACTTTGCTGTTTCGTTTGATCTTGAGGGGTCACAAATTCAAAAACGAGGGAGAGGGGGGGAAACAGCTAAAAGTTTAACAACATTATCAGATGATAGAAGGGCGAAACTTGTTCGTGGATTTTGCTAAAAGCAAAGAAGGATAAGCTTGTGCTTCTGAGTTCAGAGCTGCGGAGGGGGGAAATTAAGGAAGTTCCAAAAAGCTCGTTCTCGCTCAATTAGAGGCTTACAGCTTGCAAAAGGAGGTGGCTTTAAAAAAAACCAAAAAATTCAACAGAGACAGGAAAAAGATGGTAACAGCTCAACACGTCTTTGATTTTGATTTAAAAAAGAAAAAGAAATTCATTTTTTTAAGACACAAACACGGCAGCACGTTGTCTGTCAACATCACTGGTTCAAATTGGACACAACAAAACAAAAGAAAAAAGGATTTTAAACAGAAAATAGAAAGACAAGGATTAATGTTGACAAATGGAATCATAACCTCATCGAACGAATTTTGAGCACATTTTGTTTGCTAGGAACTACAAAGATCATTTTTGAACTTGCTCGAGGACCTATGACTTTTTTGGGGTCAAAGAAGCTTCCCCTACGTTTTCGTGTGTAATCGTTTACTTGTAGATATACATTTTCTTGGCTTTTTTACCCCACTGACACCGTTTATTTTTATTTTTACTTTTCTAACACCGTTCGACCAATATTTCCAAAACTAGCACCCTTTCTGCTGAGTTGGCAAAGGCGCGTCCCCGGGGGCGCGCTTTACCCGTGTTTTCGCTGATTTGGATGCCACGTGTGAAAGGCGCGTCCCCGGGGACGCGCCTTTGCCATATCAGCAGACACGTGTGGAAGGCGCATCCCCGGGACGCGCCTTCCATTAAATGTCATTAATGCCCCCATCCGTTTTTTCCTAACTACCCCTCCTCCTCCCCTATATAAACCCCCTCAACCCTCACTCATTCTTCACACCAAAATCATCTTCTCCTCTCTTATATAACTCAAATTCTCCAACTATTTGAGTTTTAAATTTGTTATTAGTGGTAAGAAATTTATTTTTATGTTAGTATTTTTTTAAATAGTTATTATTTTTATATTAATATTTATGTAAATATTATTTTATTATTAAAATAATATTTATATAATTATTATTTATTTAGAATTATTAATTTTTTTGCTAATTATATTGTTTTGTCTACAGTTATAATGGAAAACGAAATGCTGTTGCGATTGGATAATGATCATATCTCCAGACATTTTAGCGATATGGTAATATTTTTATAATTAATGTTAATATTTAAATTTATTTTATTTTAAAGTTATTATGAATTTATATTAATTTTTACTTTTTATAATATATATTATTTAGGATGCTGATCGTATTTTAGAAACTTTTATTAAAAATCCACGTATACCGACACCGGAACGTATTTTGCCATATTTGGCTTCTGCTGGGTTCGGGTATATTGCAACAATTATAGGCGGTTGCAAACTCGAACCTGTCCTAATTTCTGCACTGATTGAGAGGTGGAGGCCCGAGACACACACTTTTCACCTTCCATGTGGAGAGGCAACAATTACGTTGGAGGATGTCTCTATGCATCTGGGGCTTCCCGTCGACGGAAATATGATGTGTGGTATGGCGGATGGTGATTGGCAATCAATGTGCATTGATTATCTTGGAGCTGCTCCGCCAGAGTTTAATGGAGGTAGAATAGCTTTATCTTGGTTGAAAGCTAATTTGAGGTTTTAAATGAAAATGCTTCAGAGGATCAAGCAAAGGCATGTGCTCGGGCATATATTCTACGAATAATTGGAGGAATATTGATGCCCGACAAATCTCGCAACCAGGTGCATTGTATGTGGTTGCGGCATCTGATTGATTTTGATGAAGCTGGAAGATATAGTTGGGGTGCTGCAGTTTTGGCATTTCTCTTTAGAGAAATGTGTCGGGCGACGAATTATAAGAAAACTGCTATCGGTGGATGTCTTCTACTTCTACAATCATGGGCGTGGTTCCGCATGCCTTTCTTATGCCCGATCGTGAATGAACCATACGTATTCCCCTTATTGTTGAGGTAATTTTCGAACTAAATTTTGATTTAAATATTTTCAATTAAATAGGGTGATATTTAGTTTATATTATATTTCATAGGTGGTCGATGAAAAGAAAGGACCATAAAAGTATACCTACTGTTTTAGAGGAAATTCGTTTACTTATTGATACGAAAGCTGGGTCTGAGGTATGTTTTTAAATTTGTTTAATTATTAATATTTTAATTTAAAATGTTAGATATAATTAGAATATTTTATTTATTTGAATTGTATATTTATATTTCAGTTTCAGTGGATACCTTATGCGAGCGATGAAGTGAAAGCTTGCATCCCACCTCACCTTAGAGGGTCATTAGAGGTATGGATATCGGTTATACCTCTTATATGTTATGCTATTATTGAGTGGCATCCAGTTGATCGCGTGCTCCGTCAGTATGGTTGTACGCAATATATTCCTGGAGCTCCTAGAAATTTAGACGACGTGCATAACATAGATAGACGGGGAAAGAAAGATGTTAACTGGGTGGTGAGACACAGAGATTGGATTGCGCTTTGGGAGAACCGATATACAATGTTGGCCCCTCGACAATATTACGCTGAAACTGGTCATATGGTTACGGATAACTATATGGACTGGTTTAATGAAATGGGAAGCCGTTTCTACTTTCGGCGGAAGCACGAGGGGTTAACATTCCTAGGCGCCGAGAAAGACGTCAACCGTCTCAATATCATCGTCCCCCGACGCGTGGACGGAGAGAAGGCGCTACCGGTTCTGCATCAGTCCCACCACAACATCCTTATTCGTCGATGCCGCAGGGGTACATGCCCAGCCCTCCACTTCATATGCCAAGCCCACCAGTTTATATGCCATCTCCGCAGGATTACATTCCGAGCCCGCATGGTTACATTCCTAGCCCGCCAGGTTACATTCCTAGCCCGCCAGGTTACATGCCTAGCCCGCCAGGTTACATGCCTAGCCCGCAGGGTTTTATACCATATGGAGGTGCATATACGACTATGTTTAATGATCCAGCATATGCTTCATATGCATCTTATTTGGCTGGTGGTGCTTCTCCGCAGACACCTCAATCTTCATCTGGATCACATACATCGATGCCAATGTTTCCACAGTTTCCACAGTTCCCGGGGAGCGGTGGGATTGTTACTAGCACTCCTCCAGGGTCGTTATTTTATACAGGCCCTTCAGCCCCTTCAGCGTCATCTGCACCAAATGAAGAAAATGCTGCTGATGATGATAGTGAAGATGAGGAGACTGAAGAACAAGTTCCACGAAGAAATCCTCCACGAAATAGGCAACCACCGCCATGTGGAACTCATTCGAGACGACGACATCGGTGATCCAGTTATATTTAATGTTATTTAAATAATTAAATTTCAGAATTTTATGTAATTTGGTTATGTTATTTAAATGTTTCATGGTTGTTACATACATATTTTTTTATGTTATTTTTTATTCACATTTAACATTAAATGTTTGATAAATGTTTTTAAAATACAAATTATATTATTCGAAATTTAAAATAAAAATAAAAATAATATTATTCAAATTTAAATTTAAAATATAAATTATAGTATTCGAAATTTAACATTAAATTTAAACTTAATATTCCAATTGTATTCGAAATTAAAAGTTATATTCCAATTATAGTTCACAATACTTAAATTGAAATTAAAGGACTCCATACATATGATTTTATCATTAACATATATATTAAAACGTATACATTAAAATCAACTTATGTTGAGTTCATCGATCGACGTAATCAACCAAGAGGGGGGTGAATTGGCAATTTATTCAATGTCACATTTCAATGCTCATTCCATACAATTTCAATGTCACAATCAACTTATCACTTCACATTTATTCAATTTATCAATAACATTTTATCTAATTTATTCAAACTTCACATAACGTTTTAATTTAAGTTATTCTTAACTTGTTGAACATTCAAAGAAGTTAAATTTAAGTTATTCCCCGAGGGACATGAGTGACATAATAGGGCAATGATAATATTCTCTGACGAAATAATGGAAGGCGCGCCCCCGGGAACGCGCCTTCACGTGAATAGTGAAATAGTATGTACTGATATATCTAGTGTCCCCGAGGGACATGAATGACATAATAGGGCAATGATAATATTCTCTGACGAAATAATGGAAGGCGCGCCCCCGGGAACGCGCCTTCACGTGAATAGTGAAATAGTAGGTACTGATATATCTAGTGTCCCCGAGGGACATGAATGACATAATAGGGCAATGATAATATTCTCTGACGAAATAATGGAAGGCGCGCCCCCGGGAACGCGCCTTCACGTGAATAGTGAAATAGTAGGTACTGATATATCTAGTGTCCCCGAGGGACATGAATGACATAATAGGGCAATGATAATATTCTCTGACGAAATAATGGAAGGCGCGCCCCCGGGAACGCGCCTTCACGTGAATAGTGAAATAATAGGTATTGATATATCTAGTGTCCCCGAGGGACATGAATGACATAATAGGGCAATGATAATATTCTCTGACGAAATAATGGAAGGCGCGCCCCCGGGAACGCGCCTTCACGTGAATAGTGAAATAATAGGTATTGATATATCTAGTGTCCCCGAGGGACATGAATGACATAATAGGGCAATGATAATATTCTCTGACGAAATAATGGAAGGCGCGCCCCCGGGAACGCGCCTTCACGTGAATAGTGAACCGATTATAGAAACTATTATATGCAACGTATTATAAACTTTCAAAACAAACTTCAGTTCACAATCTTTCAAATTCTCAAATTCCCAAACTCTAAATTCTCAAATTCTCTGAAAATGAGTCGTCTTTCTGCTGTTGTTTTGTATGATGGAGAAATTAAGGAAGCTGAAGAGGGGTTGTTTTTGAGTCAGATCATTATATCCCCTTAACCTTGAAGAGAAACATCACAATTGAGGAGTTAATCACAAAAATTTCGTTAAAGATTCGTGTAGCAGGCCAGAGAAGACTATCTTCACTTCAATACAGATTTCCTACTGAACTTTTTCCGCTCACGTATACATCATTTCAGCTTTCAAACGATGATGATGTTTCTATGATGGTTGATGCTCATATGGGGAGTTCACAATCTCTTATTGAAATGTATGCCACTTTTATTGAGGTTCGTGTAACTCGTGGTCTCTCATATTCCTCTCACTTTGGCATTGCATATCAAACTGATCAAGTTGATAGCCCGACACAACTTATCTG